ACCTTCATGGTTGTCAAATAGTGCACAGACATAGTAGAGAAAATATAAGAGAGACGGTGTTGGTATGATTGATTGTATCTTATTATATTATATTATTATTGAATTTAAAATTCAAAATAATGATATCTTAAAACCAAACACAAAATCATATCAATAACCACCTTATTAATTAATTAATTATCTTTCTATATTTTTGATTCAATCAGATAGGAGATGAGGAATAACTTAATATTTCAAAGTTGTAGGTTGGGCATTTGCCCATTAAACTAACTTGTATAGTTCACTCATCACAGTTCATATAAGATCATAAAAACTAATATGTTATGGGATCATTAATTAATACAAATCCATATTATGCAAATCCATATTGTACAATGTTCCAACAATTCCCACTTGAATTGCATTAATCATTGCTGCAAAATGCATACACATTTCGGAGCACATCTTTTGGAGCACTTTGTCACGGGATTATTACTCTCTTTCAAAAATGCTAACCTATTGAAGCGTGCAGCATACCCACTTCTATAGCTAACACCCTCTTCAAGTCCCTTTGATATAGGAAATAACAATTCTCCCAGTCAATCCGTAACCCCCATCACAGGTAGCCTACTAAAAGGGCTCACCAACTAGGTAAACTCAAGTTTGGCTTAATATTCCTTTATCACAAGGTCATTACACTGTCCTCAAAAAACTAACCTATTGGGGCATCACCACTATAAAAATTTATATATAAGATGCCAAAAAAATGACGGTTAAAAGAAAATACGTCATATATGTGAGAGATAGGTGATGGTTAAAAAATAAATGATACATTTTTAAAATAACCATGATTTATTTAAATATAAATGACGGTTATTTTAAAAACCTGTCATATAAAGTTTAAAATCTAATTTTTCAAAAGGAAAAAAATTTAAATAACATATGATGGGTGTTTTAAACACCCATCATATGTTGTGGAGGATTTAAATGATGGATGTTTTAAACACCCTTCATTCAAAGCTTGCTAAGATTTCATATTTCTAATAATAGAAAATAAAAAAATTAAACTTTAAATTACAGATATTTAAAAACACTGTGATTTAAAGACTTCACAATATATGATAGGTGTTTCAAACACCCATTATATAGTGGGGAATAAATGACCAACATTAAAATACCTGTCATTTATTCCCTTTTAATAACTCGTTCTGGTTCATTTTTCAGTTCGTGTCTGATCGTCTCCTCACCTTCTCTCTTCTCCACTTGCACATGAAATCGATAGAACTCCCACAATCTTCCTTCATTGCTATCGTCGACAACCATCATTTATTTTAAATGAATAAATGATTGTTATTTTAAAAACCCATCATATAAAGTTTAAAATCCAATTTTTCAAAAAAGGAAAAAATTTAAATAATATATGACGGGTGTTTTAAACACCCATCATATATTGTGGGAGCTTTAAATGACGGGTGTTTTAAATATCATTCATTTAAAGGTTGCTAACGTTTTAGATTTTTAATAACAAAAAAAAATTAAACTTTAAATGACGGATGTTTAAAACACCCATGATTTAAAGACTTCACAATATATGACGGGTATTTCAAATACCCATTATATATTGGGAAATAAATGAAACACCCGTTATATATTAGAGAATAAATGATAGACATTTTTCAGGTCATGCCTGATCGTCTTCCTTGTCTCCTCTCTTCTCTACTTGCACATGAAATTGATAGAACTCATATAATCTTCCTCCATTGCTATCGTCGACCACTGTGGACTGCTCCAACATGAAGCCACTACCTCTTATGCTATCATTCATAGTCTGGGCTTCTTCCTCTTTGGGTTTTAATCCTCTTTGCTCTAAGGTGTGATTTCTTTTTTTTCCCCTTCATTTTCTTGCAATATTTTTAGATTTCTAGCTTATGGGAATGATTTATTTAATGTTGTAAATTGTTTTATTAGTTGATTTTCTTGTGTAAGTGTCTGCTCATTTGTTACCCATTTTGGTATTGTGGGGTGTTGCAAATTATTAATGTTTGATGTGTTATTGACTTGAAAATGCTAGTGGATGATATAGGTAGCCTTAGGATAATTGTTAGGATGAAAATAAGTTATCAAAATGGGATATTTATGATAGTTGTATTTTTTATGAATTTTGAATGATTTATTTGAATACAACAACAACAACAACAACAACAAGCCTTATCCTACTACGTGAGGTCAGTTATATGGATTATATAATGACATTGTGCTCTATCATTTATTAAGTTTTTAGGAATATTATTTTAGAAATATTATTAATTAAAAAATCTCACTCAACAACTTTCAAAAGTGTTTTCTTCGATCTTTCTCTACCTTTCTTGACAGGGCTCAAAGTTATCTGTTTCACTCTCCTCACAGGTGCCTCCCGTGGTCTTCTTTGTACGTGTATGAACCACCTCAAATGATTTTCTATCATTTTTTCTTCAATAGGTGCCACACTCACTTTTTTCCGTATTCACTCATTTCAAATTTTGTCTTTACATGTATATCCACACATTCATTTCAACATTCTCATCTCTGCTACTCCAACTTTATACTCTTGCTATCCCGTCAAAGTCTAACATTCACTACCATATAAAATTACTGGTCTCATAGCAGTTCGCTAAAACTTTCCTTTAAGCTTATCAAGTACCTCACAATTGCAAATAACTCCTTTAGCCTTTTTTCAATTAAACCACCCCGCCTGTATCCTATGTACAATATCTCCATCAATATCTCTATTTTGTTGAATAGTCGCTCCTAAATATCTAAACTTTTTCACTTGAAGTATGGTCTGATTACCCAATTTCATTTTCAAGTTACTATTCACGAATCCCTTATCAAAATTACAATGTAAATATTCTGTATTACTCATACTCAGGTGAAAACCTTTTGACTCCAACGTCTTTCTCCATAACTTAAGTTTACAATTTATCTCTTCTCTTATCTTTACAATAAGAATTATATTATCAGCAAAAAGTATGCATTTTAGAATTTTCTCTTAAATATGCTCAGTTAAAATATCTAACACTAGATCAAACAAATAAGGACTCAAAGATAATCCTTGATGCAATCTAATCTTTATACGAAATTTTTTTGTTTCACCACCAGGCATTCTTATACTAGTTGTTACTCTCTCATACATATCTTGTATAGCTCAAATATAGGCAATTTGGACACCTTTATTTTCCAAAGCTTTTCAAAGTACTTCTCTCGGTACACAATTATAACCTTTTTTTCAAATCAATGAAAACCTTATTCAAATCTCTGTCTTTACATCGATACTTTTTCATTAATTCCCTTAGTAGATAAATCGCTTCTGTAGTCGCTCTCCCTGGCATGAAGCCAAACTAATTCTCCAAAATCCCAATTTTCATTATCAACTTATGCTTAGTCACTCTTTCCCATAATTTCATAATATGACTCATAAGTTTAATTCCTCTATAGTTAGCACAATTCTAAATATCTCCTTTATTTTTATAATAGAAACTAAGATGCTTCTCTTCCAATTGTTCGACATTCTCTTGGATTGTAAAATTTCATTAAATAACTTAGTTAACCACCACACTTCTTCTTCACCCAAATATTTCCACATTTCAGTAGGGATACAATTAGGTCTATTGGCTCTACCATTTGTCAGTTTCTTAAGAGCTTCTCTCACTTTCTAAGCTCGTATTCTTTGATAAAAAGACAAATTTTGCTATTTCAGAAGTTACTAAATCTTCCAAGTTAATTGATGATCCCCCATCATCATTGAAAAGCTTAGAAAAGTATGTCTCCCATTTGTCTTTAATATCATTATCTGTGACCAAAACATTTCCCTTTTCATCTTTTATACACCTTACTTGTTTCAAATCTCTTGATTTTCTTTCCTTACTCTTAACAATCTTATAAACTTTTCATTCTCCATCCTCTGTCATTCAAAACTATGTGCCTTATTTGATCAGAGTAGTTTTATCATTAAAAACTACATATTGAAATATACTAAGTACCAAATTTCATTACAATTGAAGTTGATTTAGATAATCAAAACTGACACGTAGTTTTTTTAAAAATCATTGTTATTTTATTGAGATTTTAACATCTTTTAAAGAATAATGTTTTCTTTGCTTGTGATTGCTAATGTAAGTTGTATGTAACCTTAGAATGATCAATGAGACAAAAAATATTGATTGAAAATGATGTTTATGACTTTTGTATGTGATTTTTAAATGAATTTTAGATATAATTTTATAATAATTAAAATTGATTTGAAAATGCTATTTTGTGAGAATTTTATTGTTATTGGGATTATATGTGGTTGAAATTAATTTGTTGAGCGAGATGTCAATTTTAAAAAGAGGGTTTGAGCTTGTTAGATGATTTACCCATCATTTATTAAGACTTTAAATGATAGCTAAATTTTTCCCCATCATTTATTCTTTCCCCTAACAATGTTGACAGTTAAAAATTATATTTTAAATTAGGTTATATAACCGTAATTTATTGAGAGAACTTTAAATGTCAACCACATAAATTATGGGTATTTTATGGACAAAAATAACTGTCATTTATTGCTTTTTTATAGTAATGCATACAACGCATCCACTTATATAGTCAGGATCCTCTCCAAATCTCTCAAATGTAGGACATAACAACTCACTCAAAAAGCACTTGGATGAGTTGTAGCAAAATGTATAGGAGCGCTTTTTTAAAAAAGTGCTCCTGTACATCAAGCCTTTCGGAGCACTCATTAGAAGAGCGCTCCAAAAGGTAAAGATAAAAAAATAAAAAAAATTAAAATTTTTTAAAAAACTCTGAAGAGATAAATTAAACAAAATTAAAAAATAAAGGTTAAAATCTTTTAAAGTGCTCTATAGAGGAGCGCTCCGAGAGGCTTGATAAAAATTGAAATAAAAAAAGATAGGAAGCCTTTCGAAGCGCTTAGTCTGTGAGCATTGCAAAAGTGGTAGCCTTTCAGAGCCCTACAGACTAAGTGCTCTGAAAGGAACTTTTTGAAGTGTGCTTGCAAAGAGTGTTGCGAAAGGCTATTTCTCTTTTTGCCTTCCAACGCATAAATCAAGCCCTTACCCCCACATACTAGTTTTCACTTCTCTCACTACCTATTCCATTAGCTTAAGAAGTCGTCGGTCCTTATGTTGTTGCCCGTCCCGTTTGCCATCTGTCACTGTCATTCATGGGTTCACAATCGTTCACCTCAAACCATAGATTTGTGTCTCAAAATCACAGATCTATACAGCATCTGTCGTTGCCAGCCATTGCCTCTACACTGAAAGAAACTGCCATCCGTCTCTGTGCCGACCGCTGGAAAAAAGCCATTGAAGGTAATTTTTTAATAAATAATATTATAATAAATCCATATATATATATATGAATAATTTAGATATAAAAATATATAGATAATCTGTTATTGAAAATATTTATATTGGAATTATGAAGAATTTGAGGTTGTTAATTACATGATTGAAATTCTCATCTTAGTTTAGCTTCAAGTTGAGTGTAGTAAATTATGATGAATGGAAGGTTGATATTGTAGAGAAAACTCTATCTAGAATTTTTCATTATATTTATGATTTTTTTTCCTTTTAGGAGGTTTCACTTTTAGGGAAGCTTATTATTAAATTACAATTGATTGATAGAATTTAGATGCATTATGCTACTAAATTTTTATTGTATGATGAATTGATTTATTTAGTTTAAATGTATCATGCTATTAGATTTTATTTTTGATTATTTGAGAGTTTCTCTTTTAGGGGAGACTCTACCAATTTTTTTAAAAAAATCTAATTTTTTGTTTATTGATTAAGACCCTCGTGAAGTCATATGTCCTTGTTTAAAATGTTGCTATGAAAGACGAGAAAGGCTGACTAATAGAATTGAAAAATCATTTGATATGTAATGGCATTGATCCAACTTATACCTTTTGGACCATCCATGTGAAGACAAGAAATAACACTAGTGATTAGACGGATAGTACAAGCTACTCAACATTCACTACTATAGAATATATCTTTAAGAGCGGGTATTTAGGAGTGCTTCTTTAAAAAGCGCTCTAAAATGTGAATGCAGAATTTATCGGAGCGCTTTTCCAAATAAGCACTCCTGTATGTCAGGGCTTCTCAATAAGATAACGCTCCTAATTAATATAAATAAAATATTGTAAAAAATTTAAAAAGATCTTTGGGAGCGCTCGTAGTTAAGTGCTCTGAAAGACTATCTTCCGGAGCGCTCGATCTTCCGGAGTGCTCTTGGAATGAGCGCTCCGAAAGAGCTCATCTTCCGGAGTGCTCTTTTAATGAGCGCTCCGAAAGAGTTGATCTTCCGGAGCGCTCGTCAAAGAGTGCTCCGAAAGAGAGATCTTTCGGAGTGCTAGTCAAAGAGCGCTCTGAAAGAGAGATCTTCCAGAGCGCTCTTTGACGAGTGCTTCGGAAGACCACCTCTTCTAGAGCGCTCGTTAATGAGCATTCCGGAAGAGGTGGTCTTTTATATCTCTGCCTCTCGTCAGTTTTCTTTTCCCTATTCATGAGTTTCTTTCAAACCTCTCTCTCATTTGCTGAGGTTGTGCATTCCCAACGAGTTCCAGATCGTCGCTGTATCAGTCTATCTTCCATCGCTGTTTTCTGTTCCAGATCGTCGTCCGCCGCTGTTCGCTGTTCCAGATCATTGTTCGCCACTATTCGCTGTTCCAAATCGTCATCCACTACTATTCATTGTTCCAGATCAGTGTTCATCACTGTTCGTTCATTTTTGTGTCATGTCGCGCCATCTGTCTCTATTTTTGCACTGCCGTCGCCGTCACCGCCATCTCCCAAATCACTATTCCAGATCTGCATTGCTGTTCCAGATCTGTGACGCTGCTGTACATTGGAGGAAGCGACGCCGTGAAGACCTCCGTTGCAGCCGTGTGTCATTGTTGTACAGCTGAGGAAGCAACGCCTCAAAGACCTCTGCTACTGCCGTGAAGACTACACTGTGAAGGTATTTTTTAATAATTAATTTATAATGTAATATATTGATATGTTTATATATATTTGAGAATAAATTTCATATATATTTTTTAATAATCAATATTATAGATAATATATGAATTGGAGTTATTTATATTAGAATTATGGAGTATTTGTAGTTGATAATTAGATTAAAGTTGAGGAAACTACTTGAACATTTTTAGTTTATTTATGAAATATACTTTTAAGGGAGATTATTGTTATTAATTAAATTACAATTGATTGACAGAATTTAGATACATTATGCTACTAAATTTTTATTTGGATGAATTGATTGTTTTAGTTTAAATGTATTGTGTTGTGGAATTTGATTGTTTGATCATTTGGGAGGTTCTTCTTTTAAGGAAGATGTTGTTGAATTTTTTTTATAGAAATCTAAGTCTTTTGTTTATTGAATTTTGATAATCATATTAGTGATATGGATCATAAGTGGATGTCGGCTAATCGACTATCTAGAGAATATTGGGATGGTGTGGATTAATTCATTGAATTTGCATTTTGTTCTGATCAAGACCCCCCTGGAGTCATATGTCCTTATTTGAAATGGTGCTATGGAAAAAGAGTAAAGCCAATAGAATTGAAAGATCATTTAATCTGTAATGGGATTGATCCAACTTATACTTGTTGGATCATGCATGGGGAGGCAAGGAATAATGCAAATGATTGTAGGGATAGTGCAAGCTACTCAACATTTGATCGTGATAGCAGGACATATGATGTTAACCGTCTTGATGAAATAATTCATATATATAACTTCATCGCTGAAGTATTTTAAATTAAGTTAGAATTTATTTCTACCATATTTTGATAATGACATCTTTTATTATTTTATAGGTACCTACACAATTACAAGGTTAGGAGTGTGGATACTATGTTATGAAGTTTATGAGAGAAGTAATCACACAACAAGAGTTGATCATTCCTGAAAATGTAAGTCAAAAGCTTTGAAATTAAGTTGATATAATGTTAATTATTTATATATTGCTTTCATATCTTGTGTAGCATTTTGTTGGAGTAAGATGTTCGCATTTTACTATGGAGCAAATAGAAGATTTAGTTAAAGAGTTGTCAGAATATATTGTGGGCTGTTTGTGATAGGAAGTTAGATTTCAATGTTAGAAAAATAACAATAGTTTCATTTGTTAGGCTTGTTAGAAATTAAACTAGGTTAGTTAGGAAATTGAAATTGTTGTATCAGTTTTAAATTCTTTTCTTGTATATAAATTTTTATGTTGATATTATTTTTAAATTAGTTTTTGATATTATGATTTACCATTGTTAAAGAGACGTAAAAAGAGAAAGAGAAATTTCAAAAAATCTGATTTAGAAAAAATTAAAGTAATATACGGGAGCGCTCATTTGAAAAGCGCTCCTGTAAAGTAACATACGGGAGCGCTCTTCCAGAGAGCGCTCCTATATGGTTCATACGGGAGTGCTCTTTATAAAAGCGCTCCGGTATGGTTGCATACGGGAGCGCTCTCAAGAGCGCTCTCATATGTGATGTGTGGGAGCTCCCTTACGGGAACGCTTTTTGAAAAGCGCTCCCGTATAGTGTATATATAGGAGTGCTTTTTTTAAGCGCTCTTATACATTTCAGAGCGCTTGATATGAGAGCGCTTCAAAAGCGCTCCCTAAAGTAAAAAAAAAAAAGCGCTCCTGTAAACTTATTTTGTAGTAGTGATTATTTGATTATGATAGTGGGACATATAATGTTAACCATCTTGACAAGATGATTGATATGATTGAAGAAGATCTTAAGGATTATCCTGAGATGTCTGAGATATAGAAGAGCGATGCTAATAAACCATTGTACCTTAGTTGTAAGAAATTCATAAAATTGTCAATTCTTTGAAAATAGTACAACCTAAAAGTGACTAATGGATGGAATGATAAAAGTTTCACAAATTTGCTTGAACTTTTGTATGAGATATTGCTAGATTACAATAAACATTCACCTAATACTTACGAGGCTAAAAAATTGCTCTATTCTATGAAGATGAGCTATAAGAAGATATATGCATGTCCCAATAATTGTGTCCTCTTTCAAAAATAGTATTTAGCCTTAGATAAGTGTCCAAAATGAGATGCTTCATGGTACAAAGAGTTTTCAACCTTATTTTTAACTTCTCACAATCTAGGGTGAGTTGTTATTGTTATTTATCTTTAAATCTAGTTGACATTTGAGTTAATGCAATATTTTATCTTTTCAAGCAACATTGGATGCTTGTTTATATCAATCCATTCATCTCTATGATTTATTATCTTAATTAATTAAGCAAGTAGTATTATCAAGCCACAAACAAAATTCAAAAAAATGAAACTTCGCAAAATCAATGGATCTTATTGGAAATCAAGTGATATTAGATATAAATAAAATGTCTCATAATATGAACAGAACATAATAAATAAATTTTTATTTCAAAGCTTAATGGAAGATAACTATACATGACCACTAATTCCTATAAGCAACAAGTTATATGTAAAGTATTGGCCAAAATATCATTGAACACGAGAGAAACAAATGATATAAAGGGCAACACACAGTTCCAAATTTTCTTTAATTTGAATTGAATATAGAGTAGGTTTTTTGACTACAACATAGTAAAGAGATGACACAAAGTCACTAAACCCTATAGGAAAATAAGATAAGGTACACTAACATTGTGAAATAGTAAAATGGTCTTAAACCATTAAATGTGCTTAAGAGGACACAACTCAGACTCTTATTAAACCAAAGCTATTACAAAAGATTAATAAAACCTACATGAGTAATTAATCTTTTAGTCATATAAATGCATAAGCATGTATTCAACATAAGTGTGAACCAAAGAAGTCAGAATGTCTGTAATATTCTCTAACAAAATCTTTGAGAGAAGCTTAAGGTAGACAAAATATCACAATAATGGTTAGGGGAAAAAACAACAAAATGCATGTCCAATAATACTTTGCTCAACCATATAGCCTAATGAAAGGTTTTACAATGGGCGATATATATTTTACATCTTAAATTGAGGTAGCTAATAGACCAAACGAGATTATAAGATGTAATTTTCTAAGTCTAATAGCTCCCGATTAAATAAGCCTTTCAAAAATTATTCCAAACTGGGAATACTTTGGCCTCAGATTGGGGTTCTTTTAAGCTACTATTAATATTATATAATCCATCAATCTCTTCCTTTCTTACGTGAAATAAGAAGACATCAAGAACTCACACTTAGGCTAACGAAGGGCTATTCAGACCAGGACATACACTCCTAGGCCAACCCCATACAAAATTCAAGATGTGCTCCCTGACACCAAATATCCCATTAAAGTTGCACCGAATAACAGTGGGCTTAAAGTATTTTTGGCAATATTCGCTGCGTCATTCTCGTAAAAAATGTCGTCCCTAATTCGTTTTTCCAATAGTGAAATTAATCACCATCAAAGAAATTCAGTTGGACTTATACAACTATTTATGATAGGCCTTGTCAAAAATGTTAGGCTATCAAGGCAGGTACACAACTTACTAAGCCTCATAGTTGTCGATGAGTGCAAAGATAGTAGAGAGAATAGAAGAGAGACATGTGTTAGTTATTGACTGATCATATCTTATTATATCATATTATTATTGAATTGAAAATTCAAAAAAATGATATCTTAAAAAAGATACAGAATTTTATCAGTAACCACCTCATTAATTAATTAATTATCTCTCTATATGTTTTACTTGGTCAATTCAAAGTTAGGGAATAACTTACTATTATAGGATTGTATCTATCTATTACAGTTTCAACAAGATCATAAAAACCAATATGTTCTAGACTCAATAATAATTAATGCAAATTCATATTATACAAATATTCCAACAGATACTTGATATGTAGAGATGGTGACTTTTAAATTCTCAATTTACAATTTAGATTCAATTTCAGATGTGATGAAATCATTTTTCCCTAATTTCTGCTACTATATTAAATCGTGAAAGAACCCGAAAAGGCGAAAAAGTATGTACTTCAATTCTGGAACTTAAAACTCTGTTCAGAAGTTCTTTGGTAACCAAACACCCATGCAAGCCTTCAATGATCGAATTGACTGACCGTTAGTGAGAATCTCGAAAGAGAATTATTAATTTTACCTTTATCAATAATTTTAAAAAAAACATAATTGTTTTTTATTTCAAAAGAGATTTTTTTAACAGAATAACTCACATAGGCAAATTTTTATTTATTAAGTTATTTGACTTGTTAATATATATGTATTGAGATTTATAAACTAAATACTTACTACTTGATCTATATATAAGAAATTAAACATAACAATTACATGTGTATTTTTTTAGTTTTCTAATTATTATTTTCTATTTTTTTTACATTTTTATATATTTTTTGTATTCTTTAATTTAATTAAAAGCTCAGATCAAATAAATGCTCAACATGTTCTGTTGATGAAATACATGCCCCAGATGGGGATGTTTATTGGCATTTCAAAAATAAAAAGTAAATGATATATATATATATATATATATATATTGTATTTATGCATGAAATTATAGTTAACTCATACAAACATAAAATGTAACGACCATAAATTTAATTTGTGGTTTGAATTTGAATCTTATGAATCAACAATGCATTGCCGAGCTCACCTAGTTGTATACAACCATTCATGTTTAAAAGGGGTTACGATTTCTCTTGCTACTAACGGAGTAATATATGATGTGCTGGCTCATGCCTCGGAAAATCTGTGCATAGAGGACTGTCTCGTTAACTGAAATACCAAGGAGAGAAAATAAGCAGCTTGGTTCTTGGACGAGGAAATAATAAAAATTATTATAAATATATAATGGAGATAATGAAATTTTTAGTCATTTAAATTTGTCTCAATTATTAATTTGGCACTTAAAATTTAATTTTTATCAATTAGTCCCTTACATTTTCTTAAATTATCACATTAGTCTTTTAAGTTTTAAAAAACAAACTAACTCTCAAATTAATTTAATATGTAAAGTATGTTGATGACTTGATATGTATATATAGCTTAAATGAGAACAAATTATCTATCAAATCAGTTTAGTTTTCATCAATATAGCCTGTTATATTACATTTTCTTCTTTTTTAAAAAAATTTAAAATTTATTTTTCCCTGCATAAATAATGGCATTTCTTTCCGTTAATCTGCATGGCTATTATCAATATTCCATTATTTATGTCAACAGATTTTAATAGGATTACTTTCTTTTAAAAGAATAGAGACTGAATCAATAATTGATTGGGAAAATTTAAAGAACTAAATTGGTAAAAATAAAAAATTTAAGTACCAAATTAATGATTAAAATAACCTTGAGGGATTAAAAGTTTTCTTATCAATGCGCGTTTGAATTGTCTAGTTTGTAGAAACAAATGGAAGAAAGCAAGCTGTCAAGGAAGCCTTGATCAACAAAGGCCAAGAACAAGCATATGCCATTGATATTTGCTTTGGTGGATGGCTAAGGTCATCATTACTCTTTATATATATACACGTCGCAAATTACCTTAATTCCATTGTTCCATCTTCACCACGTACGCATTTATTCTGTAGTTTTTCACTGCAGGCAGGTTAGTGCCCCCCCCCCCCCAATTTTTATGTTGAAGGCCATGTCTTCAAGTCCTGTCGCGCTTTCTGATTTTTTCCAAGGATCCGTTTTCTTTTACATGCTCTGCAGAAACTGTGTTCTTATGATTGAGTTGTTTTAAGGATATGTTTTCATGGTAACAACACAGAACAGCCATATTACTTGATTTTCTAATCCTATTTATAAGGCTGAGAGAAAATATTTTTTGAATCATATTTATAAATTACATCATTAAATTTTTAAATGTTAGTGAGAGAAAATATGTTGTTACTAAAGCACATATATTTAATAAGAATAAAATTGAACCAATCAAGGTTAGCATGAGTTATAGGAATTCTTATTATTTAAGTAAGTGGTGGGGGATCCAACCTCAAGCCTTGAATATGTCACAATTTAGTTTAGATATGTCTATTCAATTGTCTAGGCCTCATTTTCCACTCGAGTTGGTTTCTCTCGATGTGATTAATGTTCATGGCCGGCCATATATGCAGAGCCACGTCGAGCCATCACATTACTGTTCTGCAAGACTGCAATCTGTCTTCTTACTCCGTTTCGCTTCCTTTTCTTTTCCCTTTTACAAACTAAGAGAAAAACTTCTTAACAATAATTAAAAAAATTTACTACTATTACAAATGAATAAAGATACATTTTTGCTCATGAAATATTTTTTAAGAAATACTTAGTATCATAAATTATTTGTTAGAATAATTTTATCTTTAAAATAATTGAAATAGAACATTTTTGCCTTTGTCGTCAAATTTTTAACATTGACCATTCGAAATATTAACTAGAACTTCAATGTTACCGTTAATTTAATAAAAAGGATAAAAATATTCTGTTTTAATTACTTTAAGAAAAAAGATTATTCCAACAAATAATTTAACCATTTACAAATTTATGCTGTTATAGTTTGTTCTCTTCTTATTTTCTTCACCTCTTTCCCTCCATCTAGACTAAGGGTGTGTTTGGATTAGAAAATTTATAATTGAAGTTAGAATTCAACTGAGGTTAGCAAACTGAGGTTAGAAAAAAAGTTTGTGAATGTAATGTGATTTATGTTTGGATATCTTTTTTTTCAAAAGTCAGTTGGATAAACTAAAATTTGTTTGGATTTTATTTAAAAGTCAGTTGAAATGTATAATGACAAAAATAGACATGAATTTTTTTTTTGTATATATAAAACATATTGATAAATAAAAGTTATTAATTATTAAAAAAGTAAAAATAATATAAAAAACATTTACAAATAAAAAATCTTAATTTTTAAAATGGTAGAACTAGATGATAAAATTTAAAATATTTAATTATGAAAAGTTAAAATAACTTCATAAGCACAGCAAAACTTGATAGATACCCTTAAATTAAATTAGATTCACATAATCCCAGCAAGGAAATAACTTACAAATATCGGTGCTTGGAAAAGAGGATGAATAGTGACAGTTGGGTATGCCAAACTATTCCAAAAGGCTTGACAGTTTGTAAGCAAATTTGAAGATATTACTTATAATTACGCGAGGAAGGAGAAAAGGAAGAGTTCATGTTTGTAATCATAGCTCGTGTTTACATTAAATAAACATACTAGAGATAAAAGAAGGCTGAATCTGGTCTCTTTTATTCATACCTCTAGGGAAGAAAGGTCAAAGAGCGAGAAATAGGGCCACACTTACTTGCCGAGGAGACACCAACAGAGCAGATCCAGCAACCTTGACTGCGGAAGAAACTGAACGAGAATCACAGACAGCAGTGGCTGCAAGCTAATAGGCGGCGAGTTATCAACGGAGTTGAGGAACTTCTTTGAAGATTGGCAAGCTAAGGAGGAGAGCTTTGAAGGATGAATGAACGAACTCATGAAGACAAGGAGAGAGAAGGCAAGACTGACAAATTTTTAATGGCCCCAACGTCTTCTCCACCCAACGCGCGGTGAAACTTGAAAAGCTCCTCAGATCAGCTTCGTTCAAAACGCCCATCCAGACCCTAACGCTCGTTTTCATTTTTTTTTATCCAAACAAAATTTTACAGAGTTTTAACATCCTAACTTAAGTTTGGACCACCTCAACCTAAGTTGAAGTGTTATCCAAACACACACTAAGTGTTAGCCTTTTTCTCCTTCCAAAATTTCAGTAGGCATACATCAAATCGGCCGGTAGCTAGCGATCGATGGCGGGGCAACTGGGAGTGCTAAATGCACTCGACACAGCCAAGACTCAATGGTACCACTTCACAGCAATAGTAATCGCCGGAATGGGTTTCTTCACAGACGCATATGATCTCTTCTGCATCTCCCTCATCACCAAGCTACTCGGCCGTATCTACTACACCGAGCCCGACCTAAAAAAACCAGGCGTTCTCCCTCCCGGAACCCTATCGGCTGTCACCGGTGTCGCTCTCTGTGGCACCCTCGCCGGCCAATTATTCTTTGGCTGGCTGGGAGACAAACTTGGCCGGAAAAAAGTCTACGGACTAACCCTCATGCTCATGGTTGTCGCCTCAATCGGCTCCGGCCTCTCATTTGGCTTCACTCGTGATGGCGTCATGACTACTCTCTGCTTCTTCCGCTTCTGGCTCGGCTTCGGAATCGGCGGCGACTACCCACTCTCAGCCACCATCATGTCTGAATACGCCAACAAGAAAACACGTGGAGCTTTCATAGCTGCAGTTTTTGCCATGCAAGGGTTTGGTATTCTAGCTGGTGGAATTGTTGCTTTGATAGTTGCATCCATTTATGATCACAAATATAATGCACCTACCTTTGCCTTAAACCCTTCAAAGTCCATGGTTTTGCCAGCGTTCGACAATGTTTGGCGAATTATTCTAATGTTCGGTGCAGTCCCTGCGGCTCTTACGTATTACTGGCGCATGAAAATGCCAGAGACAGCTCGTTACACTGCGCTTGTTGCTCACAACGCAAAGCAAGCGGCGAGAGACATGTCGAAGGTCTTGCAGGTAATAAGCGTGTTCACATTTTCCATTCGGTAATTCGGTTCAAGTTTGAATTTTTTTTATGAGATATTTTTCATAATCAATATATGTACAAATTTACTAATAATTTTTAGAGAAAATTAATCTGTAGGTCCTTCTAATTTTTCTTAATTTTGAATTAGCTTCCTGTAATTTATTTTATTTTAATTAAATCCTTAATAACTTGATTAATTAAATATGTTTGTCCTTAAAGGTTAAAATTATTAATGAATAATTGATTTTTTAAAAATAAAAAAACTTTTAAAATTTATAGAAAAATCGGTTTGATACTTTGAGTCAAAAAATTTTTATTTAATACAAAATTTCTATTTTTATTAAATTTTTTATGAAAAATTTTATATGTATAAAAGTTATTTGAAAAACATAACCTATTTATATAAATTTTGAGTTATAAAAATAATGTAATTAATTATAAAATTATATATTTTAATAAACATATAAAAGTCCTTACTTTCACTTTTTGAAAAAGAAAAAATTAAAGGATTTTATCAACCAAGTACTAATATATTTAACTAATAAAATTATAAGGGTTTGATTAAAACATAATAAACAATAGGAACCTAATTCAAATGAGTAAAACTATACAAACTTATAGATTAATTTTCGCTAATTTTTTACTTTTAATTATTATTTTCAACAAAAAATTTCTTAAGGACAAAAGAATATTTTTAAAAATATTAATTAACACATTTAAATATTAAAAAATAATTTGTTATCTTTAAAATTTATAGCTTGTTTATACATTCTAAAAATTATCAAAAATAATTATATACAACATTTAGTTAATTGTATAATAGATTTTTTATTAATGATTTACAAATAACTAAAATTAGGGTGGAGAAAAAGTAGGGAAAAATGTATAAAATAAATATAATAATATTTGATTCAGTTTGGTTCAAGATTTAAGAGACATAAACCTCAATCGGATCAAACTGATCAGTTTTTTCAAAAATAAAAAAGTAATTAATTTTAATTAGTTTATGTCGGCTTAATTGGATTGGTTTGGTTTTGAATAACATTACTTTGCAGGTGGAATTGGAAGCTGAAGAGAAAATGACAGAGGGAGAGAGTCATACGTATGGTTTGTTGAGCAAAGAATTTGTGAAACGGCACGGGTTGCATTTGGTGGGGACCACAACAACTTGGTTCTTACTGGACATCGCGTTCTACAGCCAGAATCTCTTTCAAAAAGATGTTTTAAGTAATATTGGTTGGATTCCAGAACCAAAAGACATGAGCGCAATCCACGAGGTTTACAGGATCGCTAAAGCCCAGACTCTGATAGCACTTTGTGGTACTGTTCCTGGTTATTGGTTCACTGTGGCTTTGATCGATCACATGGGTCGTTTCGCAATCCAGATAATGGGATTCTTCTTCATGACAGTCTTCATGTTCTCTCTCGCTATACCCTACGATCACTGGAAACGAAGTGATAATAAAATCGGATTCGTCGTGATGTACTCTCTGACGTTTTTCTTCGCCAACTTTGGTCCAAATGCAACGACGTTTGTGGTTCCAGCAGAGATATTCCCGGCGAGGCTACGTTCAACCTGCCATGGAATCTCGGCGGCGGCGGGGAAAGCTGGAGCCATAGTCGGAGCGTTTGGGTTCGCATACGCATCTCAAAGCAAGGATCCTTCACAAGTAACGAAAGGGTATCATGTGGGGATTGGAGTGAAGAACTCGCTGATTGTGCTTGGAGTGGTGAGCTTGTTGGGGCTGATCTTCACATTTTTGGTGCCTGAATCTAAGGGGAAGTCGCTCGAGGAGTTGAGTGGCGAGAACGTCGACGATGACGCAGCAAATACTAAGACATCTGCTTAACTGCTGCTGCTGCTGCTGCTGCGTGTGTGTGTGTCGGTCTCTCACTAGTTTCTTGCATTCTCCTTACAATAAAGTTAAAGTATATGTGAATACCAAACACAAGTTATATCCAAGTTAATTTTGACTACATTCTCTCTGGATCCGCTTGCCTTTTTCTTTGGGTTAGATAATTACCACATATAATGCACAAGTAAGGCTGTTTAAATGCCCCAAAGCCTGGTAGGACCGACCTCCGTTAAGCCAGTGGGGTAGGTGGGCACCAGGTCAAGTTCAAACTCGACCGACCCAGCTCAAAGTATACAATTTTCTTTTTCTTTTTAAATTTTTTATTTTAAAAAATTTATTTTATAGTATTATCTTCTTTAAGATTTATCATGTCTTTATGGACATTTTTTTATCTTTTCAATTTTTTCAATCTGTTTTTAAATTTTAAATTTATTGTTTACTCAATATTATGATGAAAGAAATTGATAATGACTAAGCATATATAATTTTAAAAATAACTACTTTTAATTTTAATATTAATTTTATAAAGAAAGCATTTTAATTATAGTAATAATTGTTTTTGATGAAGGATAAAAAAATTTTATTTAAAAAATTATTTTTAATAAAGTTCTTTTAGATTAGCCCAAACCCACCCCAAACATTCAGACTTCAGGTTAATCCAAACAATACACATTGAGTTGGATATCGGGCAAAGGGTAATGCCTAGCTTGACTCGGATAATGTACGCCCCTACACAAGGATGGTTGCAACTCACAACATTTCATAATGTTTTCCTTCTATTTTATTCTTTCCTTCTTTTATTTTAAAAACTTAATAAAGTGTTGAACAAATTAATATGTAATGTTGAACAATTTAATTGAATAAAAAATTAAAAAAGAAATATTGTATTACACATATTCATTAAAATAAAATTATACATCGCACTTAATAATAAATATAAAAGTAAAATAAAAGGACATTTCTTGATTTTTTTTTTATACAAGACATTTCTTTTATTTTATCATAATAACATCCATATGGTACAAAGGAGAGTGAAAATTTTCATGAAATAACTTTCTAATTAAAATATAAAAAGCAAATGATAAAATCAAGCCTAATGATAGTTACATAATACACCATACAACAATACTTTACACGTGATAATCTTAGCAAAGATAAAAACCAATTTTTACAACATTTATTATAAATTGTAAAATATTTCACTGTTGGGTGTTGAAAACATTATTGTAGCAATCCTTTGATAAATGATTGATAGTTTTATATGATAAACTATCATTTGATGATCAGATTCATAATCTATAATGCATTTTGAAAAGGTGACTAATATAAACTGAAATGTACCATAAGCTAAGTATAATCTAGATTTGAAATTGTCACCATTAATGGTGGAGCCATGATCCTGAGTCAGGACAGTGGCGAAATCAAAATTCTCAACAAAAAAAAAAAAAAAAACCTTTTAGTCTCTTCCAAATTTATCATTTCTTTTTCTTTATCTCTTAATTCAACCTTCAGTTTGCAAAGTTGCAAGTGCAAGCAAGACAATGAAAGGTATTTAGTGAGTTTATTCTTGAGTCTTGAATCTTCATTATTCATTGCTTTTTTTTTCAAAAATAGTCCCTAATTAGTATTTAGGATGAGGATGACATGGATCTAGTTTAATCAAATTAAATTTTTTTAAAGGACTAATAAATAATATTAATATTTAGACATAATGAAATTATGGGCTAGTATTTACTGAGCTTTGAGTTAAAAATTAAATGTTTGATTTAGGTTAAGGAGTAAAATTAAAATGAGTTCAAAGTTTAAAATATTAAAATAAAGGGTGTAAAGTATAAGAAGAATATGATGCAAACTGCAAAATATGACAATAATTAGGGATGTTTGCTATGAATGACACATTTGGATCACTGAATTCTCTCTCACAAAAGTGGTGCTAGTTATAAAACCATGATCGCACTTCACTACCTGAAATTGGTAATACGCGATTAGGTTGCAGGAAGAAGTCAAGCTGTGAAATAAAAAAAAAAATAGAGTTAAAGTGTAATTTTGTCCTTGAACTATTTTCAAAAAAGTAATGTTGCCCCTAAACTATTCATTATAACAATATTGCCCCTAAACAAATCAAATTGGAGCAATATTATTCTTACCGTTTAAATGTCCCTAATTGTAGCTAATGGGACCCATTTTTCATGAGTTAAAGTGTAATTTTGCCTATAAATTATTTTCAGAAGGGCAATGTTACCCTCACCATCTAAAAATTATAAAATTAAATAAAAATAAAATTATAAAAATATTAAATAAAATAATATTAAATGTATATATAAAAATAAATATAAGAAAATATATAAATTATAATTTTATAACTTATCAAATATAAGTGAATCTTGGTTAAATTAAATATAAATAGACTCAAAAGTATTTACATTTTCACCTATAAATATTGATCAAAACCATCGTTAACTACTCGATTTGGATTAAAAAATTATTTTTATGATTGAGCTGGATTATATAAGAGTTAAGCCGCTATTAAGTCAAAAATTAAAGTTGAATTGAGAATCAGGACGACTTTCAAGAAACCAAGCACTTTAAAACATAATATTAAAAAAATTTAAAAATTTTAAAAAATTAGATTCTACTAAAAGCCAACTTTATTTTTGAACAAATGTAAGTACTTTTAAGTCTACTCATATCTAATTTAATCAAAATTCACTTATATTTGATAAGTTATAAAATTATAGTTTATATTTTTTATTATATTTATTTTATATATACATTTAATATTATTATAATTTTATTTTTATTTAATTTTATGATTTTTAAAAGGTGAGGGCAATATTGCTTTTGAGAATAGTTTAAGGACAAAATTACACTTTAATTCATAAAAAGTGAGTTCTATTAACTACAATAACGGACATTTAAATGGCGAGGGCAACATTATCTGATTTGATTAGTTTAGGGACATCACATTGCTCCTTCGAGAATGGTTTAAAGGCAAAATTATACCTTAACTCAAAAAAATAATGTCTTAGAAGTATAATAATTAATGTGTAAGAAGTGAAAAATGTATACAAGTCAAATACTCATGTCAACATGTTATTTTTCCCAAGTGATGGGGCAATATGCCCCCTCAATTACATGCGCTTCGCCACTGGTCACCATCAGTCAACAGAGTTTTCCTAGTAACTTTATTTGCATCTTTTTACTAATTTCTTCTTCTAGTTGCACGAAGCCTTGCACTCGACTTTGCATAGGGGATAAATTTTCAATCGCATGGAGCCTTGCATTCTTCCTTTTCCTGTTGATAAAAAGTTCTTCAACCGAGCATGGCACTGCAAAAACTCGAAGAAAGCTCTTGAATTGGAAAGGTAGACTTTTGAATCTGGCCAGGCATGCCACGTTGATTAAAGTTGTGTTGTCAGCTCTCCTTGCTTGCCATATGCAAACAATATAATGTTACTCTCAAAACATCTTATAAAGGTTATTGAGAAAAGAAGCAGAAGTTTTCTCTGGGGTGATGCTGAGGAGGGGAAGAAGATGCATCTCTTATCCTGGGATTGTATTGTACAAGATAAAAAGGAGGGCGGCTTGGGTATTAAGAATTTTCGCAAACAAAATGAGGCTTTCATCATGAAACTATGCTGAAATCTTTTATGTAAAAAAGAGGCTATTTGGGCCAAAATGCTGTTTTCCAAGTATAACTGAGGTTTGGTAGGTTTGTCTACGGTCAAGAAGAGGCAAAAGTCTTCACTTGTTTGCCGTAGCATCTGTGATGTTTGGCACAAATTTAAGGAGGGTCTTGGGAAGAAGATTGGTAATGGTGAATCTATTTCCTTTTGGTTTGAGAATTGGCATGAATATAATGTCCCACTTATTGACTTGATTCCTCGCAGGTAGATTTATGTTAATAAACATGAAAAGGTGTTAGATTATGTCGATCAATGTGGCCTTTGAGATTTCCAGAAACTGAGCAGATAGTTTCGTCCTGATATGGTTGCTCGCATTATGTGTGCTCACCCACCTAAAGAGGAAAGGGGAAAGGATAAACACCTTTGAAAACCATCTGACGGTTATTTTTCTATTACATATGCATATAATTTTCTGTCTGTAGGTACAAAAAGATCCTCAAAGAACATCTGAAGATTTTGTGGAAATGGCCCATTGTTGAGAAGATCAAGTCCTTTGTCTAGTTGTTCTCTCATGATAGGCTACATACTAATGAGCTAGGACTGAAGCATGTCTTGGAGGTCACAAAATGTCGCCCTTTCGGTTGCGAAGTACTAGAAGATTCAATGCATTTACTTCGGGATTGCCCAAATGCTCGTGACCGCTGGAGTGACATTGTCAAAGCAGAATTTGCGAACAGATTCAATAGTCTCCAAGGAGTGAAATGGGTCAAATGGATCCTATCTCATGGTCAGGATTTTACAAAGAAAGTAGAATAGGAGAATCTTTTTGGATATGTGTGCCGGGATATTTGGGTCATTAGATTCAAAAAAGTGTTTGATGATGATACTCTTGGTGAAAATAGTAATATCTTAACTAGTTTCTCTAGAGCTTGCTCGGATAGAGACTTGATTTCAGATCACCATTGTTAGCTTACTCTAAAAACCAAAATAGTCTTTGTGAGCTTGGGGAGGGATTGCGTCAAACTCCATGTTGACGGCTCTGTCTTGATGAATGGTAACAGTGGTTTAGAGGTTTTAGCTGTAAACTATCAGTAGTTCCTCCGGCCATAGCTGAAATTGTAGGTATTATTCAAGGACTTGACTTGTGTTGGATTCATGGGTTTAGGGAGATTGATATTTTGTGTGATAGCATTGAAGCTGTCAATATCATTACTAGAGGGTGTGAGCTGTCTCATCCCTTCAAGAACATCATTGAAGAAGCCATTGGTCTTTAAACTTGTTCCATTTTGGTCATTATGTAAATATTTATGCTGATTTCTTAGTAGATGCTCTCATGGCCTACAGGGGAATTTCTATATCTTTGTTCATCCCTGCCTCTCACACAAGAGGAGGTGAATGATGAA